TCCAAACTCATGTTCGCTACATAAATATGCCTGTTTAACTTTGTCTGGTTTGCCATTTCAGATCAAATGAAATATTATTTTCTCACATTACTTGAAAAAATATTATCCTGGAGTCGGTAGAGCCATGAAAAGATATGTAAACTGCGATATCACAAGGGAATTAATCAGGGTAATTTTCCTGTAGATGGACAGGTGTTTCCCTCTCCACAGTTTCAAGATCCTATCTATTTTGCTAAGTTTACTATGAAAGTTAATAGTTGCAAGATCGTTAGTCTTTTCCCGGATATGTACACCAAGCACATCAATTTCCCCATCCACCCATTTAATCAGGAGACCACATGGCAATTTAAAGTTTGTATCTTTTACAGACCCAATCTGTAATATAGTACACTTATCATAGTTGGGTTTTAGTCCAGAGAAACTGGAGAAATGATCCAGGTTAACCATTCATTTTTAGCCCCTTAATGTTATCATTGGATCTGATTGGATCTAACACTTCAATGGCCATAACAAATAGGTATGGTGACAGAGGGCAACCTTGTTTTACACCTCTTGACAGCTCAACATTTTCAGAGAAGTAACCGTTATTTATTATTTTACATAAAGTAACAGGGTTGACCGTAGCAGGGTTGACGATTCATCTTAAATCAGCTATAAATCCCCTTGTGACAGGGGAAAAGGAAGCTTGTTGTGTGCAACTGGGAGTGGCAATTTAATGCAAGCTTCACAAAAACATTTCAATTGTTAAAACATTTCTAGCCTGTCTATCTTTGGGTAACAGGGTTGACCCGCTCAGTTTCCCACCACAAAACACCTGAACATTGCTGAAAAGAGTAGACCCAGCTCACCTGCTTTTACACTATGATTTGACTATTAGATGTTTAATGTTTCTTTTGAAATAAATGTTTTTAAAAGGAATAGTTTCACCCAAAAAAATGAGTGTTCAGTTCACGTAACAGGTTGACCTTAAAATGAGGGACAGACATAAATGAATCACTGATCAGATTAAACAAATAACAATCTTCAGAAATGACTTTGTCAAAGCAACAAAATAACTAGGGCTTTACAATGATGGTGAAAACTTGGAGAAGTGTTGGGGTTAAGTGGGTTAAAATCTTCCTCAAAATCACAGAGGGTGCACGGAGGGACATGTCAAAATGTAGAATTTTGGCACTTTAGCAAGAATTTATTCATATAAAAAATCGGACTTTTTAAATTCTCCATGTGGTCTACAGTGGGGAGAACAAGTATTTGATACACTGCCGATTTTGCAGGTTTTCCTACTTACAAAGCATGTAGAGGTCTGTCATTTTTATCATAGGTACACTTCAACTGTGAGAGACGGAATCTAAAACAAAATTCCAGAAAATCACATTGTATGATTTTTAAGTAATTAATTTGCATTTTATTGCATGACATAAGTATTTGATACATCAGAAAAGCAGAACTTAATATTTGGTACAGAAACCTTTGTTTGCAATTACAGAGATCATACGTTTCCTGTAGGTCTTGACCAGGTTTGCACACACTGCAGCAGGGATTTTGACCCACTCCTCCATACAGACCTTCTCCAGATCCTTCAGGTTTCGGGGCTGTCGTTGGGCAATACGGACTTTCAGCTCCCTCCAAGATTTTCTATTGGGTTCAGGTCTGGAGACTGGATGCTTCTTACGGAGCCACTCCTTAGTTGCCCTGGCTGTTTGTTTTGGGTCGTTGTCATGCTGGAAGACCCAGCCACGACCCATCTTCAATGCTCTTACTGAGGGAAGGAGGTTGTTGGCCAAGATCTCGCGATACATGGCCCCATCCATCCTCCCTTCAATACGGTGCAGTCGTCCTGTCCCCTTTGCAGAAAAGCATCCCCAAAGAATGATGTTTCCACCTCCATGCTTCACGGTTGGGATGGTGTTCTTGGGGTTGTACTCATCCTTCTTCTTCCTCCAAACACGGCGAGTGGAGTTTAGACCAAAAAGCTCTATTTTTGTCTCATTAGACCACATGACCTTCTCCCATTCCTCCTCTGGATCATCCAGATGGTCATTGGCAAACTTCAGATGGGCCTGGACATGCGCTGGCTTGAGCAGGGGGACCTTGCGTGCGCTGCAGGATTTTAATCCATGACGGCGTAGTGTGTTACTAATGGTTTTCTTTGAGACTGTGGTCCCAGCTCTCTTCGGGTCATTGACCAGGTCCTGCCGTGTAGTTCTGGGCTGATCCCTCACCTTCCTCATGATCATTGATGCCCCACATGGTGAGATCTTGCATGGAGCCCCAGACCGAGGGTGATTGACCGTCATCTTGAACTTCTTCCATTTTCTAATAATTGCGCCAACAGTTGTTGCCTTCTCACCAAGCTGCTTGCCTATTTTCCTGTAGCCCATCCCAGCCTTGTGCAGGTCTACAATTGTATCCCTGATGTCCTTACACAGCTCTCTGGTCTTGGCCATTGTGGAGAGGTTGGAGTCTGTTTGATTGAGTGTGTGGACAGGTGTCTTTTATACAGGTAACGAGTTCAAACAGGTGCAGTTAATACAGGTAATGAGTGGAGAACAGGAGGGCTTCTTAAAGAAAAACTAACAGGTCTGTGAGAGCTGGAATTCTTACTGGTTGGTAGGTGATCAAATACTTATGTCATGCAATAAAATGCAAATTAATTACTTAAAAATCATACAATGTGATTTTCTGGATTTTTGTTTTAGATTCCGTCTCTCACAGTTGAAGTGTACCTATGATCAAAATTACAGACCTCTACATGCTTTGTAAGTAGGAAAACCTGCAAAATCGGCAGTGTATCAAATACTTGTTCTCCCCACTGTATATAAAATGGCACTTCATTTAAAGCTGTAATATATAACTTTTTGGGCGTCTGGACCAAATTCATAGATCTATTCTATGTGCGTTATTTCTATGTTTCCCGTGCTTAAGTTTTTGCATCTTTTACTTTCAGTTTTGTACACCAGCTTTAAACAGCTGAAAATACAATATTTTTGGTTATGGGAAATATATTTCGCAGCGAATTAGATGGTACAAAGATTCTCTACACAATACTTGCATTTTTTTGTCACATAAACTGAAATTAGGCTGACTATTTGAATTTTAGCAACCAGGAAATGTCGGAGCGATTTCTGTATAATGCATTTTTAATATAACAGGCTTTTAAAATCCAATATTGGTGCAAAACAATTCACACTAATTTCTTACGGACGCAAAAGGCACTCTTTTCGTGGAACGACCCTGATGGCTATCAGTTTCAGAGAGTTGATGATAGCCTACCCTCCTCATCTGGCCAGATGCATTCTTTGAGCACACACTTCGCAAGAGATTACTCCAACAAGGGGAGGATGTGTGTGATTCAAACACTGAGGTGTGAATGATGCCCACGATCTCCACGTCGTTCAGACACAGAGAGTAGTAAAGAAAGGATAGCGATATGAACACACACACACAAACTCATACGCATACACACACACACACACACAGTAACCCTCTCTCAGGTAGTCATTTTTGAATCCGACCTTGAGACACAGAAATTTTAGCACTTGTTACTGGATCAGGATTAGGTGGCCTTCACTATAGTTGGTGGCGTCTTTAGTTTACACACATTTCTACTGGGCACTACGAGAGGAGCTAATTTGAGATCCTGCAGTGATGCAGTTTCTCAGGCTGTGTCTCCACTACTGAGTGCTCTAATCCAAAATGACCCCTAACCCAGCCCAACACTACTCCTTTAACCCAGTATAACACTGTCCCTCTAACCCAGGTCAACACTGACTCTTTAACCCAGGCCAACACTGCTCCTATAACCTAGGACAACACTGCACCTTTAAATCAGGGTCACGCAGAGTGTTTCTTGGTAGTCTTACACAAATCTACAAAAGTATACACCTCACACACATGGTTATGGGCTTACAAAAAATAAGACACCTGTACCATGTCAGATATAGAATTGAAATGTATTCAATTTTGAGTTTGCATCCCAATATTACACTTTATTACATCACAGAAGACTGAAATATAAGAAAACTATTTGACATAGAAGCTCCAGATTTTCGGCTGTTAAAATTCTTAAATTTGTAATTAATTATGAGGCCACTAGAGGGAGATTTGGTCATTTGACTGCAGGAATTAACCCAGCCCAAATACATTTCAAAACCCTACAGTCAAAGCTTTAGGATTTTGAACACAACCCTGATCATACCAAGGGAGAATCTCAATTTCAAAAACTTTGCCTCCTCTCTCCTCGCCTCCTCAAAACCCATTGGATGAGAAAGCCAGAGGTCACGCCCCTCGAACCTTCTCCGCCAATGGGTTTTGAGAAGGAGGCGAGGATAAAGGAGAGAGGACGCATGGAGGATGCAATTGAGATTCTCCCCAAATCTCCTTCCAGCCCCTGAAGGCAGAGGGCAGTACAATACTGTAAATCTGAAACAGATCAGAGAGATTGGGAAGAGATCTGAATGAAAATTCAACATAGAGTGGAGACCATTTGGGTTCATGATGTTGAAGCATTAAAAATGTTGAAGTTGAACGCCGAATTGTCTATCTATTTATCCACACTTAAAACAAGCTGAAGCTATTTAAATGGATTGGTATTTATAGATTAGAGAAGGCTAATATTAATGGCACAGAGGATTAGGATGACATCAAACTTCTTGTTATCAATGTAGGCCTAAACTGTTCATCAAGCTACAAAACTACTTTTATGTTCAGTAATAATTATGTAATTATCTTTTCAAACGAATGTAGTCAAGAATTAATGAACAGTTACATTAAATTGTCTTAATGAAGGCCTACTGGTAGTGTCACTACTGGGTCAAATGTTTGATTGACTGACTCATCGACAGTGGGACTTTTCTTAGGGACTTGACACCACACGCACTTGCTGCAGCAGTAGTCCCGCGAGATGGGTGTCGTGGATACATGGATGCATGACCCTGCTGCTCCCAGTCCCAGCTGCGCTTGCGCACCGTTTCTGACATTCCCACTCTGTCCCTGGTACCATGGTGTCAACGGAGGAGGACGGCTCGGTTGAAGAGAAGGAAAACAACAACAAGAAGAGGACGAAAAGTGCCATCGCTGTCGCATGGCTTACATTTTACAACATCGCCATGACGGCCGGGTATGTGGATTATTCTGCCCTATCGCTGATTTTGAAGTAGCCACCCCATTAAAACTTCGTTATGCACCAGAGCGCTGTGAGCAAGCGCGTGTGGCTGTTTATAGGTCCGTGGTGTCTCTGACATCGCAAGTGCCCATTCTGTTTCCGAATTTAGTGACAGACAGCGGCCATAAAGTTTGAACAGTGAGCAAAATAAAAGTAAGGGACTTGATAGAAAGTGTGTCCAAGTACTCATATTGATTATTTGAGAATTGTCTATATTTTTTGTGAAAATAACGGTGGTGGAAGTGCGGCCCCCGGCGCGGGTTCAGCCTTTCCAAATACGGTCGATTACACTGTGTTAGCGTCATGACCAGCACTACCTCGACAGTTGCAGTGATAAGTATAGACGGCGCGCTGACACTGGAGCTTCGGTCTGGGCGAGTGAAATGCCCAATAAGCAGATTTGAATAACTGGAAGTTTATGCGCTACAAAGCGCGCGGGCGCGATGACACAATTATTTCAGTTAGTGTTCGTATAGTCCTTGTAATGAACACACAAAATGAACTTACTTTAATAGTTGTCAAGTTTTCAATGATTTATTAAGTTGTTGATAGTGTCTTACGTTCATTTTCATTGGTCACTTTAATGGAGAATGGCACTTTTTGGAGATATGCTTAAAATGCGCATTCATGGAGGTGTTGGATCCATGTTATCTCCACTTACACTCATTGTAGCTCCCATTCATTCATCGTCTGCTACTCACATAATGGATATTTTAGTATTACATGAAGGTGTGAAAACTAGGTTCAGTTGTCGAGTCCAAGAGACATGCGCATTGAGGTGGTTATAAGCCCCTGTACATGATCAGAGTAAACAGATACCTATGTTGATTCAAACAGTCAAAATAGTGACTATTGCAATCAAACTATTCATTGACATTTGAAATCATGTGTGTACATTTGTCCCTTCTCTCCATATGTTAGCACTAACCTACACCTATATTATCCAATAATCTTTATATGATAGTAACTGTTAGTAACATAACAGTTTTGCAAGTCCTAAACCCTGTTAATGTAATTAGTATCAAATAAACCCTAATGAATTATTGTGCTGAGACAGAGATCATATATTTGCAATACAATAGTAATACTTCCAGGTAATAAACTGAAGGGGTTGTATTCAGTAGACCCTAAATTATGTATATTTTTCAAACAGATTGTGGCTTCAAACAGATAATACACTTGTTGCACAGCAAACACTTGTTGCACAGCTTGAGCACCTGACCGATCGACCTAGCACCTGAGGTCAAACAGTGAACAATAGCCATTAGGCTACAACAGTAGCTACAACAGTATCAGGTCTATCTGGTTTAACAAAAGTACATTCCTTTATAACAGGCGGCGGCAGTAGTGTATCTCTCACTAATCCCTGACAAAGTTTGATTTAATTTCAAGGTACACTCTGAAACGTCACATAAACGGTGGAGATTTACATGGGCACTTGACACCTCGGCGGATTTAGATGATGTCGGTGTAATGTCCTGGGACTAATCCTACTATGAGCCCATTTACTCATGAATACCGAATCTAGGGACCAAGTGTGATTGTGGAAAATTCACACTCACTCTCCACCAATTACCAGTCACACACATTTACAGGTTCCTGCAGCTACCCTCCTCTCACCTTGGGTTCTTACAGACGCACCCATTGTGTTACCTCCCACCCATCTGTTACCAGTTTCTTTGAGCTATTTTTCAGTGATCTAAATGAGGGATGTCAAAATGTGACATTAAAAAAGTGATCTAAATTTAAGGCCTTTGCAGACTGCGATTTTAGCCGTCTAATGCCACGATTTTGCAGTCCAAGACAAAATGTCCACGCTGTGGGCAAATTCTTATGTCGTAAACGATTGTCGGACGTCTTCGCTCATTCAGTGTGACGGTCTAGGTCTGCCGATTAAGAACTGACAAAGGCTCCAACAAAGTTCTGGCAGTGTCAGATTTTTTTTGCCTTTATCATGTAGTGTGACTGTCACGTTCGTTCATAGACGGGATGGACCAAGGCGCAGCGTGATATGCATACATGTTTATTTTAACGAATAAACAACGACAAAACAATAAACCAACGAAACGTGACGTCCAAGGTAACACACAACAAACCTCACACGGAACAAGATCCCACAACCAAACAGTGCCAATAGGCTGCCTAAGTATGGTACCCAATCAGAGACAACGAGCGACAGCTGCCTCTGATTGGGAACCACACCGGCCAACATAGAAATACACATACTAGAACCTATACATAGAACTACACAACATAGAATCTACACACCCTGACTCAACATATAAGAGTCCCCTGAGTCAGGGCGTGACAGTACCCCCCCCAAAGGTGCGGACTCCGACCGCACAACATAAACATAACAGTGTAGGGGCCGGGTGGGCATTCCGCCTCGGAGGCGGATCCGGCTCCGGGCGTGACAACCACTTACTCTCCGCCTCCCTGTTGCGCCCCTGGTCTGGTCTGGAGCCGCTGCTTCCCCTCTCCTTCCTCCCACAATACACCAGGCCCTGTCTGGACCCTGGTGTGGGAGACCCCGAACCTGGAGAGGGGCTGACGTCATGGTCTGGACTGGAGCCGCTGACCGGAGCCGGACTAGGCACCGGTGGAGCGGACTACTTTGGCTCCGGAGTGGAGCCGCTGACCGGAGCTGGATCAGGCACCGGTGGAGCTGACTTCTCTGGCTCCGGAGTGGAGCCGCTGACCGGAGCGGGATCAGGCACCGGTGGAGCGGACTGCTCTGGCTCCGGAATGGAACGGCTGACCGGTGCCGGACCAGGCACCGGTGGAACGGGCACGGGCCGTGCCGGACTGGACAAACGCACCACTGGTCTGGTGCGAGGAGCAGGAACAGGCCGGGCCGGGCTGGCGACGTGCACCACTGGCTTGGTGCGAGGAGCGGGAACAGGCCGGGCCGGGCTGGCGACGCGCACCACTGTCTTGGTGCGAGGAGCGGGAACAGGCCGGGCCGGGCTGGCGACGCGCACCACTGTCTTGGTGCGAGGAGCGGGAACAGGCCGGGCCGGGCTGGCGACGCGCACCACTGGCTTGGTGCGAGGAGCGGGAACAGGCCGGGCTGGCGACGCGCACCACTGGCTTAGTGCGGGGAGCAGGAACGGGCCGGAACGGACTGGCGACACGCACCACTTGCTTGGTGCGAGGAGCGGGACTGTGTTCCTTTATTAACCCCCGCTCCTTCTGCTGCCTAACCAGCTCCTCTCGCCATGCCTCTACACTTTCCTTCTCCCTTTTAGCCTCCTGTAGCGCCTCCCTCTGACCGAATAACTCCTGCTCCCTCTGAACCAATAGCACCCGTAACATGGTGGCCTCCTCTCCTAACCTGCAGATTCGCCCTTCCACGGCCTCCTGCTGCCTCGTCATCCACCCCGTGTGCCCCCCCCCCAAAAAAAATGTTATTGGGGTTGCCTCTCGGGTCTCCGTCGGCGGCACTCCTCTTCCCGTGAGGACTCCTCCGGGAGCCCCCACGAGTTAGGGAACAGAAACTCGTCGTCGTCGTCATCCTCCGACTCCTCAGTATAATACTGTTCCCACTCCTCTTCCCATGGTTGTAGGGACCCAATCTGAAAACCAACCGGGTGCAGTGGTCGGGGCTCTTCTCTCTTGCTCCCCGACCACCCCTTTAGCCCCCCCCAAAAAAATTATTGGGGCTGCTTCTCGGGCATCCTCCTCGGCCGGCTTCCGTGTTGCCGTTGCTCCTCTCCTGCCTGGGCTTCCTTCTTCGCCCAGGGTCCTTTTCCCAAAAATATCTCCTCCCATGACCACCAATTGCCCACCTGTGACATGGCTACTCTCTCCGCCTGGGCACGCTGCTTGGTCCTCGTTTGGTGGGATCTTCTGTCACGTTCGTTCATAGACGGGACGGACCAAGGCGCAGCGTGATATGCATACATGTTTATTTTAACGAATAAATAACGACAAAACAATAAACCAACGAAACGTGACGTCCAAGGTAACACACAACAAACCTCACACGGAACAAGATCCCACAACCAAACAGTGCCAATAGGCTGCCTAAGTATGGTACCCAATCAGAGACAACGAGCGACAGCTGCCTCTGATTGGGAACCACACCGGCCAACATAGAAATACACATACTAGAACCTATACATAGAACTACACAACATAGAATCTACACACCCTGACTCAACATATAAGTCCCCTGAGTCAGGGCGTGACAGTGACTGGTGTTACGAGCCAATCCCGGTGACTGACCAATAGGAACAAGGCCGGCATTGAGTATGCACACAATACGATTATTGTGAATAGTCAGATTAATATAATAGTTTGATTTAAACGTTTAGATGCTGTGCAAGAAGAACGATTTCCCTAATAATCTTGTTTAGCCTACATGAGACATCTGAAATCAGGCTACCTGATGGGATTTTGATAAATGCAATCAAAATAAACGTTCTACTACAGCGGCCATGTTATTTTGGGGAAGCCTATTTGCTTCTGAGTTCGGATATATAAAGTTTGTATGTGAAAACTATTTATAAGATGCATATTTTAAGGTTTTCTGAACTCACTTCACTTGTGCATAAGCATAGAGTGAGGCTTGTGCTGCTGGTGCTGGCGCGTGCGCAGATCAAATACACCGCTGCAGTTTTTTATTTATTTATTTATTTAACCTTTATTTAACTAGGCAAGTCAGTTAAGAACAAATTCTTATTTACAATGACGGCCTACACCGGCCAAACCTGGACGACGCTGGGCCAATTGTGCGCCGCCCTATGGGACTCCCAATCACGGCCGGTTGTGGTACAGCCTGGAATCGAACCAGGGTGTCTGTAGCGGTTGACGTAGCCTCGCAAGCTAATCGCAGAATGTGATTACAGAACTCAAATGAATCGTACAATCTGGCCAGATTGATATCAAGCTTTTAATTTGGTAACCTCACACAGTGTGACGTGATAATCGTAAAAGACTGAATCCGACGTACAGTCTGCAAAGGCCTTTAGTGGAATAGTGAATACGGTTGAGAAAATGATGTAATTTGGCCTCCCTCATTGCTAATACTGTGTTTGTGATCCTATGACAAGCATATTTGTAAAGTTACATATTTTAGAGGAAAAGAACAACTGTATATCGAGACAACACACCTTCACAGAGATCCATCACACTGCTGACCTAGTAGCCTAGTGAATGTAAAGGGAGCACAGTCTGTTTCCTCTGTAGTGCTCAACCAGGGGCCGTATTTATCAAGCGTCTCAGAGTAGGAGTGCTGATTTAGGATCAGTTTTGCCCTTTAGATCACAATAATATAAGATTACATGGACAGGGAGGACCTGATCCTAGATCAGCACTCTTACTCTGAGATGCTTGATACATACAACCCATGGTCTTCTGTGTAAACTCTGTACAAGAACTCTCACACCTCTGTTTACCCTGATCGTTACCCATGACTAAAGCCACGGATAATTAGCTTTAAATGGTCCTCAAAACGGACCTGCAATTACACTGAACAAAAATATAAATGCAACATGCAACAATTTCAAAGATTTGACTGAGTTACAGTTCATACTGTATAAGCAAATCAGTCAATTGAAATAAATATAATAGGTCCTAATCAATGGATTTCACATGACTGGGAATACAGATATGCATCTGTTGGGCACAGATACCTTAAAAAAAAGGTAGGGGCTTGGATCAGAAAACCAGTCATTATCTGGTGTGACCACCATTTGCCTCATGCAACACAACACATCTCATTCGCATAGAGTTGATCAGGCTGTTGATTGTGGCCTGTGGAATGTTGTCCCACTCCTCTTCAATGGCTGTGTGAAGTTGCTGGATATTGGCGGAAACTGGAACACGCTGTCATACATATCGATCCAGAGCATCCCAAACATGCTCAATGGGTGACATGTCTGGTGAGTATGCAGGCCATGGAAGAACTGGGACATTTTCAGGTTCCAGGAATTGTGTACAGATCCTTGTGACATGGGGCCGTGCATTATCATGCTGAAACATGAGGTGATGGCGGCGGATGAATGGCACTACAATGGGCCTCAGGATCTCGTCACGGTATCTCACAGCATTCAAATTGCCATCGATAAAATGCAATTGTGTTCGTTGTCCGTAGCTTATGCCTGCCCATACCATAACCCCACTGCCACAATGGGGCACTCTGTTCACAATGTTGACATCAGCAAACCGCTCTCTCACACAACGCCATATACGTGGTCTGTGGTTGTGAGGCCAGTTGGATGTACTGCCAAATTATCTAAAACGATGTTGGAGACTGCTTATGGTAAAGAAATTAACATAAAATTATCTGGCAACAGCTCTGATGGACATTCCTGCAGTCAGCATGCCAGTTGCACGCTCCCTAAAAACTTGAGACATTTGTGGCATTGTGTTGTGTGACACAACAACACATTTTAGAGTGGCCTTTTATTGTCCCTAGCACAAGGTGCACCTGTGTAATGATCATGCTGTTTAATCAGCTAATTTGATATGCCACACCTGTTAGGTGGATGGATTATCTTGGCAAATATATACATTTTCACTAACAGGGATGTAAACAAATTTGTGCACAAAATTTGAGAGAAATACGCTTTTTGTGCGTATTGAACATTTCTGGGATCTTTTATTTCAGCTCATGAAACATGGGACCAACACTTTACATGTTGCGTTTATATTTTTGTTCAGTATAAATACTAAAACATGTATTTTGATTCAAACATAATTATTCAGAAAGGTCACAAGGTCCTATTGGTGTTATTACTGTGACAGCAAAAATGTACACATTTGTGTTGTATCCTGTTTGTAATGGACCAATAAAGATCACATTGTATTAAGTATACTGCTCTACATATTATATTACAAAATACTTCATTGTAGATACAAATGGTGTCTGCACCAGATTGTTCAGTGATTTCCTTGAAAAATGTTCCTTCATTATTCACATATAAAGTACCAGTCAAAAGTTTGGGCACACCTATTCATTCAAGGGTTTTTCTTTATTTTTACTATTTTCTACCTTGAGGAATAACAGTGAAGACATCAAAACTATGAAATAAAACATATGGAATCATGTAGTAACCAAAAAAGTGTTAAACAAATCAAAACATATTTTATATTTTAGATTCTTTGAAGTAGCCACCCTTTGCCTTGATGACAGCTTTGCACACTCTTGGCATTATCTCAACCAGCTTCACCTGGAATGCTTTTCCTACAGTCTTGAAGGAGTTCCCACATATGCTGAGCACTTGTTGGCTGCTTTTCCTTCACTCTGAGGTCCAACTCATCCCAAACCATCTCAGTTGGTTAGAGGTCGGGTGATTGTGGAGGCCAGGTCATCTGATGCAGCACTCCATCACTCTCCTTCTTGGTAAAATAGCCCTTACACAGCCTGGAGGTGTGTTGGGTCATTGTCCTGTTGAAAAACAAATGATAGTCCCACTAAGCCCAAATCAGATGGGATGGCGTATCGCTACAGAATGCTGTGGTAGCCATGCTGGTTAAGTGTGCCTTGAATTCTAAATAAATCACAGACAGTGTCACCAGCAAAGCACCCCCACACCATCACACCTTCTCCTCCATGCTTCAAGGTGGGAACTACACATGCGGAGATCATCCGTTCACCTACACTGCGTCTCACAAAGACACGGCGGTTGGAACCAAAAATCTCCAATTTGGACTCCAGACCAAAGGACAGATTTCTACCAGTTTAATGTCCATTGCTCGTGTTTCTTGGCCCAAGCAAGTCTCTTCTTATTATTGGTGTCCTTTAGTAGTGGTTTCTTTGCAGCAATTCGAACATGAAGGCCTTATTCACGCAGTCTCCTCTGAACAGTTGATGTTGAGATGTGTCTGTTACTTGAACTCTGTGAAGCATTTATTTGGGCTGCAATTTCTGAGGCTGGTAACTCTAATGAACTTATCCTCTGCAGCAGAGGTAACTCTGGGTCTTCCTTTCCTCTGGCGGTCCTCATGAGAGCCAGTTTCTTCATAGCTTCTTGATGGTTTTTGCGACTGCACAAATTCTTGAAATGTTCCGGATTGACTGACCTTCATGTCTTAAAGTAATGATGGACTGTCATTTCTCGTTGCTTATTTGAGCTGTTCTTGCCATAATATGGACTTGGTATTTGACCAAATAGGGCTATCTTCTGTATGCCACCCCTACCTTGTCACATCACAACTGATTGGCTCAAACGCATTAAGAGGGAAAGAAATTCCAGAAATTAACTTTTAACAAGGCACACCTATTAATCGAAATGCATGAAGCTGGTTGAGAGAATGCCAAGAGTATCCAAAGCTGTCATCAAGGCAAAGGGTGGCTACTTTGAAGAAACTCAAATATAAAATATATTTTGATTTGTTGAACACTTTTTTGGTTTCTACATGATTCCATATGTGTTATTTCATAGTTTTGATGTCTTCACTACTATTCTACAATGTAGAAAATAGTACAAAATTAAGAAAATCCCTTGAATGAGTAGGTGTGTCCAAACTTTTGACCGGTACTGTATATTAATCTTCAGTTCCTTCTGAATGTATTTTTTGCAGTAGCAGGGTTGCTGCTAGTTCAGAGATTACAAGCTGAACAGCTTTTCCAAGCATTCTGTGTTTACATTCTGTCTGGCATATAGCTGTGCTGTAATGACTGATGTACAGTATAGATATATTAGTGTACAGTACTAGGCTAGAGACAATTAAGTCTTGATCACATTGGCAAATAAACTCAAATCTGATTCAAATCTGTTATTTATTTTTTGAACAGCCAAAATACACATGGAATCGGATATTTCAAGGCACATTTCAAACCACCTTCGTAGGTGGTTTGAAGTCGGATACAAATCTGATTTTTGGCCATGCGACTGAATGGTCAAATCTGATTTATTTGCTCTCAAATGGTTTTCAGATTTTATTTGGCATATGTTCTTGCTTGCTAGCTACTCTGTTGACAGTTTGACAAGAACATGTGGTAGCTAACTAGTTTGTTAATTGTTTACAAACGAATGTGCTAGAACGCTAAACAGCTACTTAGCTAGCTAAGTGACTGCTGTGGCTAGCCAAAAATGACTAATTTTTTAAAACCTCAAAGAATATGATCCAACTTTCAAGTGTTCTTACACTATGATTTTGAACATTCAAAGCAACTGGGAAACATCCATGGCAGGCATTGTTGTCACCTTAGCTTACTACATAACTTCTGAGTGATAAAAAGCACGAGCACCACCACCAATCAGCCTACACCACTGCGCATACACTCGTCGTTACTATGACAACTAGCATAGCCATGTCAGTAAATGTCTGCTGTCTGAACACACACAACTCTGATTTGATCACTTGTAACTTGATGTTTGGACAGTCAGCATTCCAAAACGGATTTGAAAAACAAAACAGATTTGAGCATTAAGGCCTGCAGTGTGTACAAGGCCTTAGATCTTCTGTAGAATGGAGTTGGCCCTCACCGTTTCCCCAACTCACGCTGTGGGTGCTTCCTAAATGGCACCCTATTCACTACATATTGCATTACTTTGGCTAGAGCCCTGGTCAAAAGTAGTGCACTATGTAGGGAATAGGGTACCATTTGGGACGCATCCTGTGTGATGAGGCATACAAGTTTAGTTGGTGTCAATGCTACTTGCTGACAATAGTACTGGAAAACTACATACAGTGGGGGAAAAAAGTATTTAGTCAGCCACCAATTGTGCAAGTTCTCCCACTTAAAAAGATGAGAGAGCCCTGTAATTTTCATCATAGGTACACGTCAACTATGACAGACAAAATGAGAATTTTTTTTCCAGAAAATCACATTGGAGGATTTTTAATGAATTTATTTGCAAATTATGGTGGAAAATAAGTATTTGGTCACCTACAAACAAGCAAGATTTCTGGCTCTCACAGACCTGTAACTTCTTATTTAAGGGGCTCCTCTGTCCTCCACTCGTTACCTGTATTAATGGCACCTGTTTGAACTTGTTATCAGTATAAAATACACCTGTCCACAACCTCAAACAGTCACACTCCAAACTCCACTATGGCCAAGACCAAAGAGCTGTCAAAGGACACCAGAAACAAAAGTGTAGACCTGCACCAGGCTGGGAAGACTGAATCTGCAATAGGTAAGCAGCTTGGTTTGAAGAAATCAACTGTGGGAGCAATTATTAGGAAATGGAAGACATACAAGACCACTGATAATCTCCCTCGATCTGGGGCTCCAAGCAAGATCTCACCCCGTGGGGTCAAAATGATCACAAGAACGGTGAGCAAAAATCCCAGAACCACACCTAGTGGGGGACCTAGTGAATGACCTGCAGAGAGCTGGGACCAAAGTAACAAAGCCTACCATCAGTAACACACTACGCCGCCAGGGACTCAAATCCTGCAGTGCCAGACGTGTCCCCCTGCTTAAGCCAGTACATGTCCAGGCCCGTCTGAAGTTTGCTAGAGTGCATTTGGATGATCCAGAAGAGGATTGGGAGAATGTCATATGGTTAGATGAAACCAAAATAGAACTCTTTGGTAAAAACTCAACTCGTCGTGTTTGGAGGACAAAGAATGCTGAGTTGCATCCAAAGAACACCATACCTACTGTGAAGCATGGGGGTGGAAACATCATGCTTTGGGGCTGTTTTTCTGCAAAGGGACCAGGACGACTGATCCGTGTAAAGGAAAGAATGAATGGGGCCATGTATCGTGAGATTTTGAGTGAAAACCTCCTTCCATCAGCAAGGGCATTGAAGATGAAATGTGGCTGGGTCTTTCAGCATGACATTGATCCCAAACACACCGCCTGAGCAACGAAGGAGTGGCTTCGTAAGAAGCATTTCAAGGTCCTGGAGTGGCCTAGCCAGTCTCCAGATCTCAACCCCATAGAAAATCTTTGGAGGGAGTTGAAAGTCCGTGTTGCCCAGCGACAGCCCCAAAACATCACTGCTCTAGAGGAGATCTGCATGGAGGAATGGGCCAAAATACCAGCAACAGTGTGTGAAAACCTTGTGAAGACTTACAGAAAACGTTTGACCTTTGTCATTGCCAACAAAGGGTATATAACAAAGTATTGAGAAACTTTTGTTATTGACCAAATACTTATTTTCCACCATAATTTGCAAATAAATTCATTAAAAATCCTACAATGTGATTTTCTGGATTTTTTTTTCTCATTTTGTCTGTCATAGTTGATGTGTACCTATGATGAAAATTACAGGCCTCTCTCATCTTGCACAATTGGTGGCTGACTAAATACTTTTTTTCCCCACTGTAGCTCAACAATCACACAAAAGTAGGCTAGGTCATCAAAGTTAAGACCGAAAAAGCTAAAAACCCTAACCCTAACTATGGAAACAAAGTGATTGAACCAATAACTTTTGCGCTCTCACTCTAAAGTGGTAACTACATCGTTGAACATCTTATTCCAAAATCATGGGCATCATGGGCATTAATATGCTATAACAGCCTTCACTCTTCTGGGAAGGCTTTCCACTAGATGTTGGAACATTGCTGCAGGGACTTGCTTCCATTCAGCCACAAGAGCATTAGTGAGGTCGAGCACTGATGTTGGGTGAGTAGGCCTGGCTCGCAGTCGCCGATCCAATTCATCCCAAAGGTGTTCGATGGGCTTGAGGTCAGGGCTCTGTGCAGGCCAGTCAAGTTCTTCCACACCGATCTCAACAAACCATTCCTGTATGGACCTCGCTTTGTGCACGGGGGCATTGCCATGCTGAAACAGGAAAGGGCCTTCCCCAAACTGTTGCCACAATGTTGGAAGCACAGAATCGTCTAGAATGTCATTGTATGCTGTAGCAATAAGATTTCCCTTCACCGGGACAAAGGAGCCTGAACCATGAAAAACAGCCCCAGACCATTATTCCTCCTCCACCAAACTTTACAGTTGGCACTATGCATTGGGGCAGGCAGCGTTCTCCTGGCATCAGCCAAACCCAGATTCATCTGTCAGACTGCCAGATGGTGAAGCGTGATTCATCACTCCAGAGAACGCATTTTCACTGCTTCAGAGTCCAATGGCAGCGAGCTTTACACCACTCCAGCCGACGCTTGGCATTGCGCATGGTGATGTTAGGCTTGTGTGCGGCTGCTCGGCCATAGAAACCCATTTCATGAAGCTCCCGACAAACAGTTATTTTGCTGACGTTGATTCCAGAGGCAGTTTGGAACTCGGGAGTGAGTGTTGCAACTGAGGACAGACGATTTTTAGGCACTTCAGCAGTCGCCGGTCCCGTTCTGTGACCTTGTGTGGCCTACCACTTCGCAGCTGAGCCGTTGTTACTCCCAGACGTTTCCACTTCACAATAACAGCACTTACAGTTGACAAGGCCGCTTTAGCAGGGCAGAAATTTGATGAACTGACTTGTTGGAAAGGTGGCATCCTATAACGGTGCCACGTTGAAAGTCACTGAGCTCTTCAGTAATGCCATTCTACTGCCAATGTTTGTCTATGGAGATTGCATGGCTGTGTGCTCGATTTTATATGTCAGCAATGGGTGTGGCTGAAATAGCCGAATCCACTAATTTGAATGTGAATGTGTCCACATAACTTTGTATATATAGTGTATCTATTAAGTCATATTTGTCCTTCTCATGCACACTTACTTCTTTCATGCTAAATACAGTTATTCAGATGTTGTAAATATTGTATATTTTCCAGGTGGCTGGTTTTGGCTATGGCAATGATGCGCTTCTACCTCCAGAAAGGCACACACAAGGGTCTGTACAAAAGTATAGCAAGGACACTCAAGTTTTTCCAGACCATTGCATTAATTGAGGTGAGTTTCTGAAATATCATCATAATTCACTAGTAGCCACATTCACATAAACACACACTCGTCTCAAAGTATTCCATGAAAACAGATTATAAAACAGTTACATTTTGAAATGATTGGTAAGATCCTTCTAATGTGAGCTTTAAAGACTTTGATGCTAAACTTTGATGCTGAGATCCTTGGTTAATACTAAGAAGTGAGAAGAGATGATTCACCTGATTCTTTTTTTAAAGTATTTTGTTTGTTTATGCGATAAAGAGAGATGAATTATGCGATAGAGATAGGAGTGCTAAAAGTGCAGTAGGCCGGATTCTAACCCATGCTGGCAGCGGTATATCATACATGTACTCTAGAGGCAGCGGCTTAGACCGCTAGACCACCCCAGGCCGCGAGTCACTGATTCTTAGTTGTTGTCTTGTCTTTCAGGTGGTGCATTGTGCAATCGGTATGTATGGTCTTGAATAACAACCATATAATGTGAATATAACCAGATCTCCTAGTTCTGGCAATGTTGAATTCCCTGGTTCTCGTCCTATAGGAATCGTGAGGACCTCTGTAATTGTGACCGGTGTTCAAGTATGTTCACGAATCTTCATGGTGTGGTTCATCACCAACAGCATCAAACAGGTGACTATCTCATTTATCACCAAAGAGGTGTCTTGTAACCCTGGTTACCATCTACAGTAAGGGGCCTTGGAGTTGGTGTGAGGTGAAGTTTCCCCGAGACACTGATCTTGGATCAGTTTAGCATTTTCCCCAATAATGGTTAAGTTTAGGATTGGGGAACGGGAAGCTGATCCCCCCCCCCCGGAGGCCAACTGTAGTAGTGTCCTACTGTGCAACATGGACCCCCTTAAGTGTTAACTATCTTCTCCCTCCTTGTTTTGTCCTGTTCTTTGTTGGAAGATCCAGAACGAAGAAAGTGTAATCCTCTTCTTGTTCGTGTGGACGTTTACAGAGATTACCAGATATTCCTTCTATACATTCAATCTGCTCAACCACCTGCCATACTTCATCAAATGGGCCAGGTGGAGATGGGGCTGGGGCTGGGGCTGGGGATGGGGATGGGGATGGGGTGGGGGGTGGGGGGTGGGTTTTGGGTAGCTCTGGTCCAGGGCGTTTACGTGCGCATTGCTGATTCTGAGCGTTCTCAGCATTAGCAAGCCGCATGCAAACGCCCTGGACCAGCGCTAGGGTTTGCGGTGATGTCGCGGTTCTTGGAATGTTGGACTGGCTTGATTGGTGTTTCCCGTGGCATACTTCCCACTACAGACAGACTGGTTTCACGTCAGTATTGTGATGTCACAGGGAATACAGTAGTAGCCTGTGTAAGGGATCTCCTGGCTCATAACCATACAGCATGTGATCAGCATGAGTGTGTTGTTTATTGATTAGCACCATGTTAGCCATTCTCTATGGACGTTGGCTGACCTAATCGCTAACGCTTAGTACTTTGGCATCATCACTGATTTATGCGCTAGGAGACGGTTGTGGGTAATTGATGGATTACACAGGAGGTGATCAGGCAGTGATAAGCATACAGATCAGAGATTGGAGGAAAGGTGGTGACACCATCAGTGCAGGGATTGGGATTTATTCTGGGGCCATATGTATCAAGCATCTCTATGCTCATTAAGGATCAGTTTTCACAATGCATAAGATTACATGGACAGGGGGGACCTGATCCTAGATCAGCACTCCTACTCTGAGACGCTTGATACTTACGGGCCCTGGTCAAGAGAAGAATGACATTATCCTCAATATCATGAAGGATAAAATAATTTATTGGCAGGGTGTAATGTATTTAAGTGATAATGCCCAAGAAGCTGGTGTTTGGAGGATATATTGGCACGGGTGTTGTTAGGCCCGAGATGAAGTCGAGGGCCGGCAAACTATGCCAATATATCCTCCAAACACCGGCTTTGAGGGCATTATCACTTTTATACGGGTTATCAACGGGTTATCAACATATTCTAATAATGACTGCCATATTTTCATTAAACTTTATTCTGATTAATGTATTCATACTATTTTATCCTGCCATGAGATATAGTCCTCGTCACAAATCTAGGGTTGCTACCCAAGCTGGCCGGTCGTTCATTCTATCGGCTAGGTTGCCAGAGACGCGACCCAAGTCTTTTTTTCTATTTCTATGGATGCAACCCAGTCATTCTTTCTAAATGTTCCGTTGCTATGCTGGCTGACACATTTTTTATATCCCTTGCTTGTTAGCTAGCCAACTACGGCTAACATAGTCACGTCAAACAGTGCAGCCAGAATAACAGCAAAGTAGCTGCATTTGTGTTTGTTTAAGCTGTTTTCTAGTGACATTTTTGGATACATCCATAACAAAGGGCAATGATGTGCGATTTCACATGGCATAGAACATTTATGACTCGTTTCAGGAAACTAGGCCTATGCCGCGGGTCACTACTTCACAGGAGAGCCATTTGAATGTAAACTTTTTTTATTTATCAAAATATTTTTGGTAGAAATGCCTGCTGGAATTTGTGAACTTTCATGTGCCTTAATAACAAACTTGTATGCCATCTGTAAATACGAATAAAATTGTTAAATTACGAGCCTAGTTGGTTTAGCCACAAAAAAAGACACCAACCTTCCCGCTAGCCATGATTAGCTGAGATAATGAGTGGGCTGGATATGCCGAGAGATGAGTTCGGATTGGTCTGCCATATAGCATGCTTCTGTCTATTTGAGCTGGTCAGTATGTGTAGGTAATCCTGTCTAACGCGGCTTTTTTAAAAATGTATTGCGTAGGTAAACTGCATAAGTGTTTCTCTTCATTTTCTGGAGGACCGAGTTTTGAAATCAGTGGAATTAGAGTATGATACCTAAGGAGATGGATGACATCTTCAAAATAAGGGCAACTATGAGGGAGTCGCGTCCATCCATGATGTATATGGGTAAGATAGTCTAGCTAGCTACATTTTCAGATATTACACGTTTCTAATTTTGACAGAAAGTGGTTTCCTTTCAAGTTAAAGTGTACTGTTAGCTAGCTAACGTTTGCTTTGCTAGTTATAGCCCGAGTGGCGCAGTGGTCTAAGGCACTGCATCTCAGTGCTTGAGGCATCACTACAGACCCCCTGGTTTGATTCCAGGCTGTATCACAACTTTATTTTAATTTTTTTATTTTACCTTTATTTAACTAGGCAAGTCAGTTAAGAACAAATTCTTATTTACAATGACGGCCTACACCGGCCAAACCCGGATGACGCTGGGCCAATTGTGCGCCGCCCTATGGGACTCCCAATCACGGCCGGTTGTGATACAGTCTGGAATCGAACCATGGGGTCTGTAGTGACGCCTCAAGCACTGAGATGCAGTGCCTTAGACCGCTGCGCTACTCGGGAGCCGTGATTGGGAGTCCCATAGGGCGGTGCACAATTGGCCCAGTGTCATTCGGGTTTGGCCGGTGTAGGCCGTCATTGTAAATAAGAATTTGTTATTAACTGACTTGGTAAATAAATATATACAATTCTGCTGGCTAGCTGGCTCGCTTGCTAACGTTACGTGTATGATCTTATTATTCGTATCTCAGAGCCATTTGCTTTGCTAGTTATAGCCTAATGTTAGCTAGCTAACATTGAACCTGGTTGGTTAGCTACCTGCAGATTCATGCATGGTAGTAACGTCATGAGTTGGGATTATGGTTCATTGTTTACCTTGCTAGCTAGCTACATGTCTTAACAAAAGACTCCACTATGCAAGTGACCATTTCGGGTGCAATCGTAAGTACGCCAGAGTGCAGAATAACTGATGAATTTACGAACACTCAACACCTGTTGAATATGGCCGGTGTCAGTAAACGTTGGAAAAAAAGCATTATTAAATTGTTGCCAGCAGCACAGTTACAGTCACCAACGCTCTGGATAACATAAAAACAGCCTAACCATCTTTGCTAGGGCGAGTAAAATGGTCAGTGGGGTGTTCATTTGTTTCTGGAAGTAGCTAGCAAGCTAGCCAATGTTAGCCAGTTTGCTTGGGTGCTTGACTGCCGTTGTGAGGTCAGAACGCTCGGCTCAACCCTTCTCATCGGCCAGAGCGTCCAGTGTGCGCTCTGAACGCTCCGAATGCAAAACGAGATGGGTGGGGCTAACTTTCAAAGCAGAATTACTTTCCCATTGTTCCTCAAATGCAGTGTATGATATACCATTTTGTAGCTCTGTGTCTCTGCTTTTATCCAATGTAAAAAACACAATTTCAAATGTTGCTACATAAGACCAAGTCAAGGCGATCGGTCACGTTTGCTCTCATCACTGTTCAGAGGAACTAGGCAACTACACAGCTAACACAATCACTTCAAACTGAAGCTGGAAAGATGGCAAACTAGCTGCATTTCGTTTCGTTTGACCTGTTTGTCTATTGCCATTTCTTTGTATATACCCATAAAAATGATGCTGATTCAGGATTTCGAAGCTATCTATCTCATCCTGACCTGTTAATCCTCAATGGGACAGTGGAGATCGAATTTCAATATTGAAATTATGTTGCAAATGTCGGAGAGACAGACAGCAAGGTTTATACAAATCTCCATTGTTGAAAACCAAATGTGAGCCAAAAGCAAGGGGAGATAATGTCGAGATGGTTTTTTTACAGTGGAGATCAAGTTTCTAAATTGCCTGGCTGGGCTGATGGGACAGTGGATTGCGCAATGAGATGGAACAGTAAATACGCATTTCAACGTCATAGCTTTAGCCGGTGGTAACTTGGGGAATAGTCACCGGCTGGAATTCGGTTTTAACAAATCAGCATCAAGGACTAGACCCAACCGTTGTATAACTCCTCATATTCAACTCCTCATACTGTAGGTAAAGCTGTTATTGTCTTTCCAGATGTGAATGACATAAGGATGTTGTAATCTTTTGTCTCGTACTTTCAACATTCATTCATGCCTCTTTGATGCCGAATCACAGCTTGTGAGGACTGTAGCACCACTCGTTTTGAGTCTCACATACACTTCACCAGACCTGGGTTCAAATGCTATTTGAAATAATTTCTAAAAGCTTAATGTAAGCTTAATTTACTTCTGTAAAAACCCTGAAGAAGGCCAAAAGCCAAAACGCTTTTTAACACTAAAAATGCTTTTTTATTTAATTCCATTGTCCTGCAAGAGTTGCTGAATCTTCTCTTTACTTCAGTTTGCTCCTCAATTAATTCACCTTGGTTGGAAAGCGACAGTGATCCCTTCCCACTTGATTAAGCTTGCCTGACTATAATGGACCAATGGAATAGTCCCAAAACTGCAAACCCTGCCCATCTGACACTCGAAGCAGGCCAGAGATAACGCTTCTATAATTTGAACGATTTCAAATATACTGAACAAAAATATAAACGCAACATGCAACAATTTCATTGATTTTACTGAGTTACAGTTCATATGAGGAAATCATTCAATTGAAATAAATTAATTGGCCACAGATACCTTGAAAAACATTGCCTCACAATGGGCCGGTATTTTTGTGCATTGAAATTGCCATCGATAAAATGCAATTGTGTTCGTTGACTGTAGCTTATGCCTGCCCATACCTTAACCTCACCGCCACCATAGGGCACTCTGTTCACAACATTGACATCAGCAAACCGCTCGCCCACACGACACCATACATGTGGTCTGCGGTTGTGAAGCCAGTTAGATGTACTGCCAAATTCTCTAAAACGACGTTGGAGGTGGCTTATGGTAGAGAAATGCACATTAAATTCTCTGTCAACAGCTCCGGTGGACATTCCTGCAGTCAGCTTGCCAAATTGCACGCCACTCAAAACATGAGACATCTGTGGCATTGTGTTGTGTGATAAAACTGCACATTTTAGTGGCCTTTTATTGTCCCCAGCACAAGATGCACCTGTGTAATGATCATGCTGTTTTATCAGCTTTTTGATATGCCACACCTGTCAGGTGGATGGATTATCTTGGCAAAGGATAAAAGAACCCAGATCTGCTCTTCACAGTCTCAGACATACACAACTACACACAAAAAAATGTGGGTTCTTTGGGAAGGGTGATGGTTCTATGTAATAATAATAATATGCCATTTAGCAGACGCTTTTATCCAAAGCGACTTACAGTCATGCGTGCATACATTTTTGTGTATGGGTGGTCCCGGGGATCGAACCCACTACCTTAGCGTTACAAGCGCCGTGCTCTACCAGCTGAGCTACAGAGGACCGTG